ACAAAATTTGGGCTTTCATGACATCCTCAGTTTCAAAATGATGGGGACTCAGAAACTAAAATTGATTTTCTTGTGCAAAATAAGAACAAATACTTCCTGATGACAGCTATTTCAGAACACCAAGTGCAATGGATAGACAGAAAATAAAAATAGATAACATGTATAGAGTGCTTAGCGAGGCACTATTATAAGGTTTAACAAGTATTAAGCCATTTAATCCTTTCAACAACTCTATGATGTCAATAACAGTATTATCCCCATTGTACAGGTGAGACATCTGAGACACAGAGATTAAATTTTTACCCAAGACCAAATGACTACAGAATGGGAGAACCAATATTTGAACTCAGGAAGTACAGTCCCAGAACCTGAATTCTTAGCTACCCACACTGTATTCACTTTCAAGCCAGACGAATAGAGGGAACTCCTTCTTCTAGAAGAAACAGTTCATTTTTCATATTACATCGTAGGTATTCTGCAGTAGGATAATATTATTCTGCTTTTGGTCACTCAGCCTCTACCTTCTACTCCTCTGAGGAATCTTCACCTTTAAGAAATAAACATGTTGATCCAGTTCAAGGGGAAAAAGAGACTCAGAAACCTCAGAGGCAATGGTTCAAAATGTAGCACTAAGTGGACATACAAGGAACATATTTTCCAGAGGACAAGGTCAAGAGCACCTGAAAATGTCTCCATAATGTGTATTTAGACAGTGTATGTCACAGCGACTCCACTATTGCAGAGTTCTAAGACCTTGTCATCTTTATTTGGACTTCACATCTGGTATTGGGTAGCATAAAAAATGAAGGTGATGTAAAATGAACATTTTACTAACAAATTGCAGGAAGGCTTTAAGATAATTGATGTCACACTATGATATGAGATTGCTGTAATTTTAAATTCTTTACCAAAATTGGGATATAACTAGAGCTCATTGCAGCATAATTTTTCCATTTAAACAATGACGTATATATATATGGGGGAATATACTTTACATCTAACTTTTCTCACACTGATTAACACTCTTTCTGCTGTAACTATATAGCCCAGAACACACAGGACCTTTCCAATTAGTACTGGTGTTTCTCCTTCTGAATAAGTCTACATCAATGAGAACCCCAGATGTGAGTGCTAGAAAGTGTGTTCCAGGGCAGCTGTAGCAGTAATTCTGCTCATGAACTCTCTGAGTTCCCCCTGCCTCGATCCTCCTGCCTCTTCTCTTCCCCACCTCTATTTCGCTCCCTTGGTGATACCATTTAATTTCATGGTACCAAATGCCAATTTTTAAAATGATGATCTTCCAAAGTTTATCTTCCGCCAAAACCGCTTCCTGATTATCAAACTACCTCCATAAACCTCTACCTGGATGTCCAATAAGTGTTTCAAACTCAGCACGTAAAAGCTAAACTCTTGAGCTTCTGCCCCAATCCACTCTCCTCATCTTCTCCATCTCACTGAATGCAAAACAAATCTGCATAGATATTCAAGACAAACATTCTGGGGAGTAATCCTCATTCTTTTTTTCTTACATCACACTTTGAATGTATCAGAAATTCCTCTGGTATCTGACCACATATCATTATCTATGCTGCTACCCAAGTCAGCACCATCTCTAGCCTGGATTATTGGAATGCCCTTTAATAGGTGTCCTTGATTTCATCCTTGTCCTCCTACAACCTATAAGATTATCCAGTGTGATCCAGTTATAAAAATGGTAGATTATGCTCATCTTCTGCTCAAAGGTGTTATATATATATGTGTGTGTTTTATACATCTAGTTATGTATATATAGCTATATATATACATCTAGTTTTATACATTTTATACTTTTATACATTTATACATTTTATACATTTTATACATCTAGTTATGTATATATATAATTATATATAGCTATATATATATTTCAGTATAACATATACATATTGTAGTATTTTATATATAGAGAGAGAGCAGTATAACAAATTATTCTTAGTGATATCTCAATTTTGGTAAATAATTTGAAATTAATAACCTCTCTCTTAGAACAAATGCAAATGTCTTATAATGGCCTAAGGAGCATTAAAAAATGGGCATCATTACCTTTCAGATCTCATCTTCCCCAAAAGTACTGCCAGAAGAATATAATGTGAGCTACACGAAAGAAGTACAATTTTAAATTTTCCAGTAGCAACATTAAAAAAAAGTATAAAACAGATGCAATTAACTTTAATAATCTATTTTGTTTGACATAATATATTCAAAATATTGTTTTCCAACATTTAATCAATACCAATTGCATACAATATAGTTTAGGTTTTTCTTTCGTTACAAAGTCTCTGAAATCTGGTGTGTCATTTATGTGTACGATATACCTCCATTCAGGCTAGCCACATTGCAAGTGCCCGATAGCTCTATGTGACCAGGGACAGTGCAGTTTTACAACAACTTCTCAGTGCCTCTCACTAGAGCAGGCATGCTCCCACCTCTAGGCCTCACAGACCTTGCTCTTCCTTCTATCTGTAATACTCTTTCCTTGGAATCTCTTCATCGTTCTTTCCTTCACCCTTTTTAAAACTTTGTTCAAGTGTTTTCTTTTTAGTAAGATCTTCCCTGTCCACAACATTCAAATTCCAACCTCTTCCAACTATAACATTTCCTATCAGCATTTCTTGATTTATTTTCTCCACTGTATTTAACACATTCTAGCAAATTTCATAATATCACGCACACACGCAGGTTCTTATATCAGATTTAATATGACACTAAGCTCTCATGCAACTAGACTGGTAGGAAGTTTCATTACATTATTATTATTGGAGCTCCTTCCTTCCACTCCAGAGTTGTATGAAAGTCCTGGGAATGATGGTAACTCGTAATGTATTAAATTGATTCCAGAGCTGCCTTGCTACAATTAGGTACAGTTGACCCTGCCAACTTGGGGCCCTAGTGTCTACAGTCTACAATCGCTGAGTTCATTTCCTGGGTTCCCAGGTTCCCTAGGAATCAGGTCTGTCCCACCTCCCTAGATTTCTGCACCAATTTTCCTTACTCAGAGAAATTCTGGCCACCATCTTCTTCCTAGTCCTTGACAATTTCCCCTAATGTTTTCCTATCACCACTCCCAATGCTCACGGTATTTGCCTCTTTCTCTTCCCCTTAACGTATCTCTTTAGTGACTTAACTTTAGGAAACAACATCCTCAATGTCTGAAGGAGAGTGAGGATTGGGCCAGGGTGATCATGATGGATGGTGGACAGGACTTACAGGCAAGCTTTAAAATGGAAACTCTTGAGTCAAAAGCTTGATTATTCCCTCTTGGACTGGACAGGGAGAGATGGGAGTAAAAATACAGTAAAAATAAGATCTGCTAGTATTGTGACAAAGTCTTGACACAACCATAAGTAAGAATTGTGGGAGATTTTAAAATATTTTGATTTTTTAATGATTCACATTTTTGTTATACCTATTTATTATCAGGAAAGCCTCCAAATTAAAACCATTTCAGTAATACTGTTTTGATGCCAGGAAAATAAGGAGCCTGGAAGTAGTGTCACATGGTAGCAGCATACAACAGGAACTATAAAAATGTATGCATATAAATATACATGGGTACATACAGATATACATACAGGTTTTGAGAAGAATGGAACCCAAAGAAATGCTTTTACACTGTTGGTGGGAGTGTAGATTAGTTCAACCATTGTGGAAGACAGTGTGGCAATTCCTCAAGGATCTAGGACCAGAAATACCATCTGATCCAACAATCCCATTACTGGGTATATACCCAAAGGATTATAAATCAGTCTACTATAGAGACATATGCACATGTATGTTTATTGCAGCACTGTTCACAATAGCAAAGACTTGGAACCAACCCAAATGCCCATCAGTGATAGACTGGATAAAGAAAATGTGGCACATATACACCATGGAATACTACACAGCCATAAAAAAGGATGAGTTCATATCCTTTGCAGGGACATGGATGAATCTAGAAACCATCATTCTCAGCAAACTAACACAGGAACAGAAAACCAAACACCGCATGTTCTTACTCATAATCGGAAGCTGAACAATGAGAACACATGGACACAGGAAGGGGAACATCACACACCGGGGCCTGTCATGGGGTGGGGGGCTAGAGGACGGATAGCATTAGGAGAAATACCTAATGTAGATGACGGGTTGATGGGTGCAGCAAACCACCATCGCATGTGTATGCCTGTGTAACAAACCTGCACGTTCTGCACATGTATCCCAGAACTTAAAGTATAACTAAAAAAAAAAAAAAAAGAAAGAAAAAGAGTAAGAAAATGCTGTAGAAAGAAAAGGGAAGCAAATATATGCTCAAGAGAAAAGGAAGCCTGGAGGATGAAGAAAGCAGAAATCTGGGGAAAGAATAAACAAAAAACCTGATTTCTGGTTTGGGAGAGGGGAGGAAAAAGGAAGGACATTGCATGAGATGACAAGTCAGGGCCAGGAAGAGTTTCATGAAGGAGATGTATTGCAGTAACCCATGTGCCATACACTGCATTTTGAGGATACTGAATTGCTTGAGATCTCACCACTAAATAACAGAAAGGGAAAAAGTGAAAAACTTTACGGGCTATCTCCTCTGTGCTAGGTAATTTTGCATACAATAGTCCCTTTCATCTTCACAATAGCACTATAAAGTAGGTGAGATTAATCTCATTTTCCAGTTGAGGAAAGAGGGTCAAAATGATGGAATACTCTGCTCAGGATCACGCAGCTATTCAGTGTGGACTCAGGGAAAGAAGGCTTGCATCCAACCCTGGGTCCTGCATTCTTGCTACGGCCGCTCCTCCGACTGCATGCCCTTGTAGGAGTTACTTTCTTTTCCAGACAGATCCCCAAAATACATCTTCTGCTCCACATTGGAAATATCTCTTTACTTCTGAAGCCTTATTTTTTCACTTTATTTTTTATGCTTAAGCTAGACAGTCAATAAGGATTTAGTGAATAAGTGGAAAAAAAAGAACCCATGTACATAGGTATACGTCCATTCTGCATCATTTAGTTCAAACTGTAAGATCTGACAGTAGCGGTCGGTAAACATAACATGCATACTACTCATTTAAAAATATACACAGCAATCCAGGTAGCATGACTTCTCAAAGGCAGGGTCCCCTCACAGGGCAGTATATGCTAATCAGCAAAGCAAAATCAGTACTTTGAACAAATTGAACATATGCATGAAAAACGTTTCTAATTTTTGTGTTATTAAGATTTTATAAGATACGTAATGATTCTTTGGCATACTTTGTTACAATGCTCGTTATAAAATCTGCAAAAAAGGATTAAAATAAATCTCAGATGTCAACACAATCTCCTGGGCAATTCTTCACTAGACCAAACGATGCCATCCACAACTGCATTATCTATGAGGCTGAGAATGGCTAATGAGGCCCATCGATTGTGATAGAGCCTGTACTGCACTCAAAGACTTTTTCTCTCTTCTCCGCCATGGGCTGTACTTACCTACTCCTGCAGAGAGACCCCAGCCTTTATAGTTGAAGGCAAAGGTGAAAATAGCCAGTGTTGTGTGAGCTGAAAGACTTCAAACTTCAAATAGTCCTTGGATTGTAGGGAAAATCCTCGTAGCCAATCTTTTTTCATGATGGCAGGGATTCATATTTGCCAGGCACAATGGAGAGTACCTGGCATGAAGCTGGGAGCTGAAAAAGTATATATACATAAATATGCATAGAGACATACAGACATATATATATATACACACATACAAACACTTGTGCACATATATACTAATATCATCAAATAGATACCAGAATTTTGTTGATATCGCCAAAAACCCATCGTGTACCTCCTAGTCATCCTCTACCTGAGCATTTTTCAGAAACTTTGAACGGTATGATTTTTTAACACTATTTCCAGCTCCTGTATTCAGTGGCTTGTTTACTTTGTTACTTTCAGCCTCCTACTCTGGTTTGAGATGTCTCAAAATAGCATTCCAGTTATTTGTGTTTTCATCTATAATTATTTTCTCAACAAGGGTTTTTAAAATTCCTATGCATTTAAAAAAAACTTGAAAAATGATGCAAAATTCTGCAATGTATTCTTAGAAACAAGTAAAGATGCAAATATATCACCAGTAATAGGGAGGCAGAGTGATTTGAACACAGCAGAAAGGAGTATTAATTTCAGTCCTGCCACCTACCATCTGAGTGAATCGTGACAAGGTTTTTGTTGTTGCTTTATTTACTTGTTTGCCTTCCTGGTCTTCAGTTTCTCACAAGTATATATGAGGAATTGGATCCTGTGCCCTCTAGCATTTTTTGAAACTCTGAATTTCCAGGATTCTAGGAAACTTATCCTAACCAAATTTGTGTTGGCATGACTGGCTTTAGAAAAGCATAGCCAGTAATTGGTGATGGGTCTGACTACAAAGAACAAGGGCAGAATGAGCTAGACCCCACCTCATAATCCTTAATGAGTCTACCTGTACGATTAAGAGCAGTCCTTAGTGAGTACATCTGCATGATCAAGAGTAAAGGTGGGTAAATCTGACTTCTCCCATATATATTTATGGAAACTACAAGTCACTTTATCTCTTCAATCATTCATAGAATGGGGAAACAAAACCTACGTTCACAATGCTTAAAGCATTAGACAAAATGTAAGTGTAAAGCATTTACAACCATACCCAGAACATTGCAGGGTCCAGTTGATAGTTTCTACTAATGTTCTTATCAGAAAACATTCAAACGATAGAGCAGACAAGAAATACACAGGATGGGAAAAGAGACTTACCAAAAGGAGATAATTGATCTAAGTTAAACAAAAAGCTATTTATTTCCTCTTTAAATTGTTCTTGAAATTTGCTAAGACTTGCATCATTGTTCAGAAGATTTGAACCCCAGAAGTTGTTTCATGCCAGCTCAGGTGGTAGATGAAGGCAGACCTTTCAAAAGATTAGATTTACAAATAACCACATTGGTCTTTATCATCCATGTTGTTCTTCTCTCTAAAGTCATAGGAAGTATAATAGTATTGATCAGACAAGACAAGAGCCTGGCCTACCATAATCAAACAATAACCTTTGATTTATCCACCTGGAAAATGTCCATGGAAACTATAAAGGAGAGTGTTTTGGGTCAAAGAGTACTTTTGGTTTCATGTTGAGAAAACTACCCCTATTACCTTTTATTTCCTAAATAAAGAGCATGGTTGCTTTGTACAGTCATGGTCTCAAAGGCAAATCTTTTGTTTCAGAGGTTGAATGGGCTATTTCTCTACATGTCTGATTACATGCCGTGCATCTCAAAGCATATTGACAATTTCATTATACTGAGTGCAGTAATCCATATCAACAGCTCATCCCTGTTTTGAATTATAAAATGAAGTGACTTAAAAAGCCAGGTATAAGCAAACTTATCTGCTTCTAGTCCTTCAGGGACTGGACTAGGTCCAAAATTAAACAAGACACAGGGTAGCTTTTTAAATTTAAACACTTCCTAAAATTGTTTTTTCACCAAAAGTAGGCCACCTAAAAGATTAAAAGCTCGCTCTTTCTTTCTCAAAAAAAGAGTAAAAAAACACATAATTACACTCTAATTTAAAACTCTAATTGAGAGCTCTTGTATTCATAAGATGTTCTACTTTCCTTTAGGGACAATATTCTTATTAGTCACACAAGCTGTCTAATCATTTAAGCGCAAGGCTTCTTCAAACCATATACCTTTGTTGCAAAGCAAATGAGAAAGTGCAGTACTGTCTTTTTTTCCTCAGTGTCTCTCAATTATGTACTTATAAAAGCAACGATCAAATACTCTGGCTGAATAAAAAGATACCTTCTGGACTAGCACAGGTCTAAAGACAACTGAGGTTAGTGCTATCTGTATTTTTAAGACAGTACTCTCCCTGGTCTAAATTTAAAGATTTAAAGATTATAAAAAGACAAACAAACAAAAACAAAACAAAAAACAAACAAAGCACTCATGAATAAAGGACAAGGAAACTTGGTTAGGGAGGCAGAAAAGCAAACGCTTGAACACTTCGGTTGACTTTGGAATCTGGGAGACCCATGTTCAATCTCAGGTGAGTTACCTGAACTTCTGAACCTCGCTATCTATAAAAGAGAGGTAGTAACAGCATCTCTCAAAAAGGGCTGGAGTAAGAATTACAGGAGATAATATGTATAAGTGATTTTCACTGTTCAAAGTAAGCAATGGATGTTCAATATCATCATCAACATAATTAAGAAATCATTTTACAAGTGTGAAATATATAACGTTTAATTTTCTCCTGCTCCCCCTTTCTCTCCATATGCAAAGGCATACAGGGAAAGGGGGAAGAAAACTAGTATTTATATAGAGTGTCGGCCATGTTCCAGGTACTTTACATAGATCATCTCAACTAGTCGTCATGACATCTGCCTGGGATATGTTCCTTTGAGGGATGAGGAAACTGAGGCTAAGACAGAGACACGGAGACAGAAAGACAGTGGGACAGAGAGAGAGCCTGAAACCCAAGTCTCCAGTGCCCAGCCCATACTTATTCTACTATAAATGTTCACATGTGCACGTATTAACACACATATGCATGTGTGTTAATGCACATTCCTGAGACAATCTGGGAATTTCTTTAAGTGGTACTTATAGGCTTATACAACCTGAGTACAGTAGCTTTTTTATTAATATCTAATCCTCAAAACAGTCTCATAAAGTTTTATTATTATCTCTATTTCATGAATTAAACAACAGAAGCTCAGTGCATAAGTAATATAAAAAGGCAAAAGCTATTGCATTCTAGATTTAGGATTAGAACTGAGATCTGTTTGACACCAAAGTCCAGGTAATTTGAAGTCCAGGTAATTTCTCCTATATAAGGACAACTTCTGATGAGAAGCAAGAGTTGTTTGAATAGAAACCCTTCATTAAATAGAAAAATTTACTTTTTACTCTCTTAAAATATGAAAGATTTCACTCTCTTTTGGGAGACTGGTTGTCTCATGGTGAAATTTTTCTTGCAGAATAAAAGTGATGAAACTGGCTCTCTTTGAATTAGGTGAAAAGAATGAGTACCTTGGACGTGAGCATTCTGCTGGCTTATTTCTTGTGCATTACGGCATTCAACAAAGAGGAGAAAGGTCCTATTTGATTTTAGCAAAATGTGGGATCCATGCAGTTCGTTTGTAAGCTTCCTTCCTGTAGCAGCTCCCATTCACACAGCGAGGTCACAGCGTTGGTGATCTGAATGCCCACACCTGCAAGGTGAACTTTAATATATTACATATTTCAACTGTGAGATTTCAAATGAAGCCTGTTGTGGGCTCTCTGTTTCCAGACAGCTCATAGATCCCTGTCTAAAAGCACTGAGTATAGCAATGAGCTCATGATGGTATCTCAATAAATTTCTGTGGCGCCAAAGAGAAAAGCCAGAGAGTCTTTTGTTGACAGCATAACAGAATGGACAATATTGCCTAGAGAAGGCTACCATTTGGAAGACGTTCAAGGAACCATAGCATGGATTGCCTGAAACAAATACAATCATGAATATCAATTGTCATTAGTTCTTGAACTGGCATCTTGGTAACCAAGTAGCTTAGACCAAAGCCATCTTACAGAGATTTCCACAACGCTTAAGACCCCTGAAACAAGATTTTGAGAGCAGAAATTAAGATGCAATAATAAATTAGTTATTGCATATTAGCATAAACAGGTTTAAATTTTTATCTTTTGTATGAGGATAAACTATCAGTTAGGAGGTACAACAAGAAAAAAAAAAGCCAAGATGAGCTAAATACCCAAACATGAATTGGCTTTAAAAAATTCTAGCTTCAATATACAACTCTTACTACTTTGAAATGTAAAGGTTTTAACCCTAAAAATCATCATTTTGATTTTAAAAATGTTGTGCCAAAAGGTCTTAACTAAAAAGCATTATCTTGATTCAAAATTTAAAGGTTTTCACAGGAAACAAAGTTAATTATACACAGTATGCTGAAAGTATGTCTTAATTATGATTCAGTTGTTTAAATGAAAGAAATACAAGTCTGAAAATTATCACTTTTCTAATTCCAAATTCCCACTGGAGTTTCTAGCAGTTTTGGATCCCACATCCCAAAACACCACCAAAACTGCTTAAACACATGTACATACATACACCACATCTAGGTATATTGAAAGAGAACAAATGTCCTTAAATGTGTAAGAAACACAGTCATATAGAAAAATACACAATACACATACACACACACGTGCCTCTCAAGTGCCACCATTCATTCTAAAAGGCTACAGGGTCAACTTGACAGTCTTTGGCTTGGTTTAGGTATGCAGTAGGTCACTACCCTGGTTCTGGTGCTCATGACCCATTGCCTAGGTTGCAGCAGCAGGTAGTCCACCAACCTACTGCAAGAGATAATTTCCTAAGATGCAAGTTGTGAATGACAGTCTTCTCAAAAGCTTTCCATGGGTCTCCTTTGTTGGCAGAGCTATGTCCCATTTCTATTTTATGACATTTATGGACCTGAAGAGACTAGTAATAGTTTAGCTCTATATTCCTCAAAGTATGCATTGCCAAGAAAATCCAGGCAGTACATCTTTTTCCATTTTTTTCAAATTTTTAATTTTTGTGGGTACATATGAGGTGCATATAATTGTGCGGTACATGAGACGTTTTGATACAGACATGCAATGTGAAATAGTCACATCATAGGAAATAGGATATCTATTCCCTCAAGCATTTATTCTTTGTGTTACAAACATTCCAATTATACTCTTTTAGTTATTTACAATGTAAGATTAAGACTATAGTCAACCTGTTATACTATCAATAGTAGTTATTATTCTTTCTACCTATTTTTTGTACACATTAACCATCCCAGGCAGTACATCCTGATGAACAGTTGTACTATATCAAAACCAGAGATACCTCCACAGTCTCCATTGCTGCCCTGGAGATACGGATTGTGATTAGGTTGTTGAATGAAGGAGCCAGATCTTACAATCTGTGGCTGAAAGTATTCCAGCTGTATTTCATTAATTTGCAAGAATCATCTATGGAGCTATTAAAAATATAGATTCCCAAGTTCTGACTCTTCCCCCAAAGGTTCTGATTTGTTAAGTCTTGGAAAGAAGCCAGGAATCTGCATTTTAAAAAGTCCCTGGTCTTTCTGATGCAGCCAAGCAGCAATTTCACATTTGGAGCCATACATAATTTATTTTCCTCATTTTATAGGTATAAAAACTGTGAGCCAGAGTAGTAAAGTGACTTGCCAATGATTAGTCAGAAAGTTGCTGTAAACCAGAACTGGAACCCAGGTCTCCCAACTCCCTGTCTTCCCTTGCTGTTGGGCTGCCTCCCACTAGAGCAATGGGGGTGTCATGTGGCAGCCTCTGTGCAGCTTCCTATGACTCTTCATTGGTTTCATTCTACAGATACTCCTTCATTGCAAAGTCACTTTTTTAAGAGGATAAAATTTCACAGTAATACCTCTCACAGGTCAATGCAAGAAACTTGTTTCACCAAAGGCATTTTTCTGGCTCATCTAATTCTTGAAGCACAGAGCCAGCAATATGATCTGCCTCGTTTACTCTGTCTGTACAGTGGGAATTGCACCAGCTCTCACTGAATTGTCTGTTAGTGTTATTAAAAGCATGGATAAAGATAATAAATTCTGTGTCACCTCTCAAACTCCTCTGTGACAGATTTCCTATAAATAACAATATGAGTATGCAATCCTGCTACAGCATTAGCATCAAAGACAAAATGGACAAATCAGATTGTCAGTTCATGATTTAGCATCCTCATGAGAAAAGCTTGTGCATGCCAGACAAGTGCCTCACAAGTTGACATTTATGGTTTGGGCCAGTTTTGATACATTTACCTTTACCCTAAACTGAAATGTATACTTGGAAATTAATTTAATCCACTGGTATGAAAGTCTTTAGTCTTAATAGGCTAGCCTTCTTCCTAGTCTTAATAGGCTAGCCTTCTTGGGGAAACAAAAAAGCTTGACGTCTTTGATAGATTCAATAATTCATTCTGGATGAAACTAGTTTTATGTGCTCAAACTGAAACTTCTTAAATACTCCTCTGCTTGACTTAACTAATTTTATGTAGCTTCATTTACTTCCATGGAATAGTTTAAGTATCAGGGGGATTGGATTCATGGTCTGTTTCACAATAAGAAAATGTGCTTAGTTGGAGAAAAAGTCTTTAAATACATTTCCAGTGCTAGATTATTAAATTATTGCTTTTCCAACAAATGGGCAAACCTATTCAAGTAAAACTTAATTATTCATTCAACCATTCAAAAACATATATATTGAGTGCTTATTATGGGGTAGAAACTGTTGGGCACTGAGACGTAACAACGAACAAAAACAGATTTTTCTTGCTCAATAGACATACATGGGCTTCCAAGGGGACATAAACATTAATCACATAATTACACAAAAGAGAAGTTTGTTACAGGCAGAGAGTACAGGATGAGGTGGATGTAAGTGGAGTCAGAGAAAGCTTCCAAAAGGGACCAACAAGTCAGCTGAGATTGGAGGGGTGAGCAGTTTCTAACTAAGGCAAGGAGGGAAAGAATGTGTACACATGACAGTAGAAACGTGATGAGCAAGGACATACAGCCCAGTTCTAAAGGAATATCAAGAGCAACTCTGCTGATGCATGTTTCCAAGCCAGGCTTGAGGCTTGCACCAACTATTCAGGTCCCTGATCATGCAGCAGTTGTGGTTTACTGGACAAAGTACTTGAGGAGGAGGAGCGAAAGACCTGGAAAAGTTGCTTTAATCTCCACGGTTCTAAGTCATCACACTTGCAAAGGGAGGTTAATAAAGTATACTGCCTGAAGTCATAGGAAGATTAAATGAGATCAAGTGTGTGCAGAGTTTTATAAACTGAGAAGTACGATACAAAAGTGAGGGATTATAGAAGATTATAATGACTAATACCTTCAGTATATAAACTACTTTCTGTTGAAAACAAAATTGGGTATTATTAAGGAGACACTGATCTGTTGTACAGACAGGCATAGTATTTTTTCATGATGCCGTACCAAGCAGGACAGAAGCCAGGTCCTACCAGCTTGGGTCCTACCAGCTTGCTGCTTCTTGCATGACCAGGCATTCTCTGTTTTAAGGCCTTCAAGGGGATGTTCCTTACCTAAAACCCTGGCTCCCACACCAAGTGTCTGTGTAACATCAGCCCAGCCCTAATAGTCTATCATCTGAAGATCAGAGGTTAGATTTTTGCCTAACGCTGCAGAGGTAACCACAAAAATGTTCTGAAGTTTCTCATCCATAAGTCTTTGGACTAACTGCAAAATTTTATTATTGTTATCCTCACTCAGAGTCTCTCCATTATAGGATCATCCCCAGGCCATAGTAGTACCCAAGGGAAATTATACTGTGGAAGAATGTTTTAACAAAGTTATAGTGTGGTTACAAAATCAATATCAAGGAAATTCTTGACTAATTAATATAACTAAGGATGGAAAATTTCAAGAAGTGTAGTAGATGGCAGGTAGGAGAAAGGAAAAGTTGATATATCCAAAGAACAACAAGTGGCTTGAAGATTTTTAGAAGGGGACACTCACTCTGCTCAGGAAATCAGAAAAGGGAAATTAGCCAATTATGGCTGATAGTTATATTAGCTCAACCTAAATAAAGTGGATGGATCATCTGGCGAAAGCGGATACTCAAAGTGACACAGAGAAATTCTTCTTTTCAGAAAGAATGCATTTCTGCCCTTGTTTATGTTCCCTAGGGGCCACATTTCTGCCTTGGGGAAGTAGGATTTTTTAGGAATCAGAGTGGCAAAGTTTAACTCTTATAGAAATTCCAGCCACAAGAGAAGAAGTCCTGTACCTCCATCCCCATCCCCTTGTTTTGCTTGATACCATGCCTCTGGGAGAGTCCAGTGTGGCTTAGAGTTAGGGCAGCACTTTTAGTGCTGGATATTCAACTCCCCCTCCCAGAAGAGTTTCCTCTGTTTTAAGGACACAGCCAGTATCACTCCACAGTGGCCCAGGAGGAGTCAGAATAACAGACTGATCCATGGCCATGATTAAAGCATCTAAGAAATCAGGTGGGTGTCTCTGCTTGTTCTGAATGGATGGAAGAAAAAAGCTTAGGGTTACCTTTCCTTGGCACAAACTTGAGTTATGTAGTCATGCACAGTTGCATTCTAGCATTGATCAATGGTGATTCCAAGGCAGACTCAATTTTGTCTTTCAGTCGTGGGTTG